GATACAAATAAACTGAGTGGGTCAGGCTTGGGAGCCTGGTGAGCATATAGGGTTTTCAACCCACAATAAATAAATTTATTATGTTTAAACATCAAACAATCAACCCAGTTACCCAACCCCATTATCTTCTTTATTTCTTAAGGATTTACCCTACGAATCATCTATCAGTCATTCCTAAGGATTCCACCTAAGGAATAGGCACGAAGTCACATCGTCGCCAGGGTTTATACAACAAGCACTAAGTCCATAGATGCCAGGGTTTTTAGAGTACATCTGATGAACATATAGTTCACACACCTACAGGTTGCGAACCTGCCAGTGTTCCATGGACCGTCTAGAATAGTCCATGGTTGTCATCCATACTCTGCTGAATGACGGGGCCATCGCTTGGGTCATCGCTTGGCTCATCGCTTCTCACCATATTTTACCACTCATATATCATCGCTCATCTTTCATCGCTCATCATTTATCTCATCATTTTATCACACATCAACTTATTTCACCTACCCATGTTATACCCAACATATATGTAGATAAAATATATATACAATTTAATTCATTTTAAACATGTATAAAACATTCTTTCATCTACCCATGTTTTACCCAACATATTTGTAGATATAAAATACATATACAGTTTAAAACCTGTATAAAACAATTATTCAACATCTATCTCAAATAAACAAACAACATATATACACATAGCACGTATTTTATATAAAATACTTCATATCTATGTGTAAGGTGAAAGTGACTATACACTCACCTGATAAGACGATAATCGGGCAGCACTTCGTTTCTTAAAACGATCGTTTCCAATAAAATCGGGGGCTTTAATGAAAAACCGGGCCCTGCGAGGGTGGAGCTTCAAAACCGAAAAGATAAATTTTTCCGGGTCTTCGGGCACTTCGGAACATATTTCGGGTGTTGGAAATGATCTCGGGGCTTCGGGGGAAGTCGAAATAGTGAAAATATGAGTTTAGGGGTGAAAAAGGGCAAAATCCCAAAATTACTCAGAAAGTATCGCAGCCCTCCCTTTTATAGGGTGCGAGCTTCGGATCTGAGGGCTGAGAAGCGAACACGCGGCAGCAGATGCGAGGGGCTCTAGATGGCGCGCATGCGAGGGAGGCAGGTGGCTCGTGCGAGGCTCGGACACGTGGTGATGCGAGACCGAGACACGGAGAAGGCACGAGGCGACTTCTGATTGGCCGAGCCTTCGGTGCGAGGAGGGTGCGACACGCGTAGACAGGTGGCCTCGGATGACTCAGCAAATCGGACACGCGGCATGCTGCGAGCGAGGGTGACGTGGCCGAAGTTGAGCCATGCGAAATTCCTCGGTTTTAGCATTTTTCTCGATTTTTGTGTCCCAAACCTAAAATCCATAACTTTCGCATACGGGCTCCGTTATTGACGTTTTTTATATGAACGCGTAGGTAAAATTATGCTCTACAACTTTCGTTTAGACTCCGTTGGCTAATTTTGACTTTAATTTTAATATTGTTATTTTTAACAGACCGGGACAGGAAAATCCGTTAAAAATTCATAACTTCTTCATCTGACGTCCGTTTTCGTCTGTCTTTTTACCGTTGTACTACTATTGACGAGACCTTCAATTCTCGTTTAGTTTGTGTCGGCTAAAAATCACTCGATCTAAAATTCGAGTTTTTAGCTGTCTACTGCTAAGCTGAAACTTAGAAAAATCATAACTTCCTCATACGAAGTCAGATTTGTGCGTTCTTTTTATGCACGCTCTCAGTTTAACGAACACTACAACTTTCATTTAGATCACCAAGCCTAAAAGGTAGTTTATCAAAAACTCACTTTTTACGCCATTCGGCGTCGTGCCGGTTTTGTCGCGAAACTTCGACAGATCATAACTTCTTCGTTATAACTCGGATTTCGGTATTCTTTATATCTCTGGAATCCTTATTTCAACCACTACAACTTTATTAATAGATATCGGCTTTATCTAATATTTATTTTCGACGCTTATTTTTATTCTTAATTAATTAAATCCTAATAATTAAGCATAAAACATATAATTCACATAATAATCACATAATTCCTCTTTATTTCTTCAAAATGAGTTACAAAGGTTGACCTAGAATATTACATCATCATTAATGCCTATCATAGAAACATGGGCGTTACACTAACCTTGTCTTGTGGTTATGGTTTTGACAAATTCACATGGATAGGAACACATACTCCATAAAATCTAAGTGTCATAAGGTTTCTCTCCGATTCATGAAAATGACGGTGAGGAAACGCTTTCACTAAGGATATTTTAAGTAGATAGCAATTGTGATATTTGCATTCTCAAAGTCGTTAGTGGAGCGTGTGTGGTTAACTGGCACACTAACATGGACTTGTGAGAAATGACAAAGGTCTAAACAATTGAGACTATGATTATGGTATCTCTTTTCATAGTTCTAAGATTGTTTAGACACACATCTGAGCTATCTAAGGAAAGGTGTATGATTTTGATAAAGTTTTATCAAAGCATCTCGTATCAGAAATCTGAACTTTGGTAAGAAAGTCAATAATGTATTGATTTCTAGAAGTCCAGCTGATTTCTGAGTACATGTCAAAGCTAGTGGGAGCATAAGTGTTAGGCTAATAATTATCATGTAAGTGGGAGCATGATTATTATCTTCAGTGTTAATTATAGAAAACAAAAGTTTCAGTTTGCAAAATGTACTTTGCAGGGTTTGAAAAGTTTTTTTGCTATAATTAAGGGAGAGGAAATTATACTTCATTTCAAATCTAAAAGCTTAGATCGTGAGATTTTAATCAAATTTAGTCAAGTATATATTTGAATGTTATGTTGGAATGGTTCAACATAAGGAAATTCTATATATGGGAACATTATTTGCGTTCTAAAAAATTCGATTATGATTACGACATCCCTTTTCAGAATCTGAATTATGAGAACATGGCAAATAGAAATAGATATATTATAGCAAAAGACTGGTCTAGTATCATGTCTTTATGTGAGACATCATGAATCGTGTCCCATATGCTTTAGATATAGGATCGATTGCATGTGCTATAATATTCATCTGTTCTAAATTTTTCCAAATGTCTAGGGCATTAAGAGGGAAAAAGTACTAGAACTGGATATGACTAAAGTGATTAAGCAATTATTGAGGACAATCTGAGGTGTTACAAAAGATTGGTTGCTCATTGACAGTTGGAAGTATGGTGTAAATTCTTGGAAAGGACCGTATTAACATATTCTGAAAAAAGACAACTCTTGTTCAGAAGTGACAGTCAAAATAGAAATATGGAAATGTCTCCATAGGTGGATGTTATTCAATTTGTGTAAGATTAGAAAAACTTAATGCAAGAAGGATGTTCAAAGGAATGTACTTTGAATTTGAGACTTCGTTTCCATGTAATTGATCTCCATTGGAGTACTTTGTAATGTCTGTTGCCAAGTCTTTGTGACTTTGTGCATAGGCATTACAAGAAGATCAATGCATATGAGTTTAGAATCTGACAGATTTTGGTAAATGGCAGAATTTGGAATTCTTACATTTACGATAAGGATTTGGGATTATGAAATGAGAATCATTGGAATTATGTTCAATTTATCTATTCCACAAAGTAAGGATCATAGACAAACATAGTGTGCATACTTGGTGTATGGCATAACTATAGTTTGGATAAACATAGTGTGCATGCTTAGAGCATGACATGACTATTGTTTTAATTCAAGTATTAAGTTGATTATTTGAAACACTATGCAATGAATAATGTGTAATCAATATGGTGATAAATAAAAGGTGTTCTATTTATATTCATAAGTTCTGAGACCATATTGGATTCGATTATTCTTGTGTTTCACTTTGCATGTTTTGACTTCCAGAATAACTAGATCTTTCTTCCTGAATGACTAAGTTATTCAAACCATCCACAGTCGATAATACGTTGGAAGTAGGTATTAAGGAAAGACTGTCATGAATTGGGTTTGTAGATGTCTAAGGTGTTTGACATAGCAAGAGTTTCTACAACATTCATGAGTGCTTCTGGAATGAGATTCGAGTATTGGATTAAACCCTCGTTCATTTTAATCACTTCATGGATTTTATCATGAGTGAATCATGAGACGATAATATCTTATATTCTTCAAACCTAGAGATATGAGTTGTTGACTATGAGTTGGTTATACATTGATTGTACAAAAACGCATTGGTAACTCGATGTTATAAAACGTGCCTTTGTGTATGATTCAACAAGTAGTAGGACAAGCATATGAGTCGAAGTTTATCCATTCCTTTTACCCTTGGGAGGGATAAAAGCGATATCTGTGGGCCCCTCGATGATTTTGTGATGACACCCCTAAGTGCTTGGCCAAGCTTGGACTGATTTGATTTGTTCAATTAGTCAGTCGTCATAAATCGGATATCGGGAAACAACAGATGGACAGAGAGAATGATTATAATCCATGTCTCAGTCCATATGATATCTAGAATGGAGGAATATATGATCCCTTATCTAATGGACAAGTCATTGACTAGGTCAGAGTTTGACATCGGCTTTAAGAGTTACGATTGCTAGTCAGGTTTTGGAGTCATACACAATAATAACTTTAGACTTATCCAAGTGGGAGACTGTTGGATTAGTGTCTAAGTCCATAACTATAATTGGTATGTACTTGACCCGATTTGGCATGGTCCATTTGGGTTGCATGGCATCGGAACAATTGGATAGACAAAATGAGAAAAAAGGATACTTATGATTTATATTAATATATTATAAGTTCTAATATATTAATATGGAATCATATTATTTAATTAGTATTGATCAAGAATTAATTTAGAATCAATTTAGTGATAAAAAAGGAACTAATTAAATATGGACTCTTATATATATAAAGTTCATTTAGGTTGGGCTAAGCCTTCATGGATAGTCCATGGAGTGTTTAACCCATGGTGTAACAACGTAAATCTTCAAAACAATTTTTCATTTTAAAAACATACTTTCATTCATAAAATATCATAGTAACCCAAAGTATCACATGTTTCACAATAAACAAATCCCAAGATCCTCGAATACATAAATCCTCTCAGTGTGTACAGATCATGCCGGCGCCTTCCCGCGATCCTCGCTAGTACCTGAAACACATAACACAACAGCTGTAAGCATAAATACTTAGTGAGTTCCCCAAAATACCACATACAACACATACGCCACTCGAGGCTATAATACGACCCTCCGGTCGATGTGTCTCAGCGGGACCCTCCAGTCCCGTAGCTCGTTGGACCCTCTGGTCCGGTCATAGCTCGTCGGACCCTTCGGTCCAGTCTGTGTCGTTGGACCCTTCGGTCCGGTCTATATCGTTGGGTCCTCCGACCCGGTCTATATCGTTGGGCCTCCGACCCGGTCTGTTCAACACATAGCATACATATAACACAATGCACATAATCTCATATATACACGTAGCATACAAGACCCTCTAGTCTACACATAAATACCACTCTAGGTAATGTATAGTGAGAAGACTCACCTCGGGTAACTCGGTAAACCTCGAACTCTGAAATACTGCACTAGCCTTCGCCTAATCACATAAATAATTACTCTAATTAATACAACTTCTAAAGGCTAGGCCACCCCCTCTCTATAAGTTCTCTAAGAAGGGTAAAAGACCATTCTGCCCCTCTAATGGCTCATAAGTCCCAACACTGGCTAACCCTAAAAGTCAACAAAAGTCAACGGTCAACATTGACCGGACTCGCCGAGTGCACTAGAGTGACTCGGCGAGTACATGTCTGTCCTCCTCGCCCCTGTCCTCACTTGACTCGCTGAGTCAACCCTATACTCCACGGGTCGCCACAGGTCGCGAGTCGCAGGGCAACCCAACTCGACTCGTCGAGTCCCTTATGGGCTCGGCGAGTTCCTCCCATGAAAACTCTCAAAAGATCTCTTGAGGTCAAATCTGCTTCACCAAACAGTAGATCCATCCTTCTAACACTCGAAAGTCACGTAAAGGTTCAAACTTTACGTTCATTCAATGCTTATAAGACCAAAAATGGAGGAATAACCTTTTAAATGTGATTTTACTCTCAAGGCTCACATGAAACCTCACAAAGCTGGAAGCTTGGGACCTTTTGGACCTCTAAGGTCCAGATCTATCATCTATACTCAAAGGGACCCCCTATGCTTCACAATCTAACTCAAAATGGTGCAAAGGAAGCCCTAGATCATAGATCTTAACCCAAAACAGAAAAGTAGTTCGATTAGATACCTCAACAGCGTAGATCTGAACTAGAAAACTCTGGATCCACAGCTCCCTTGACCTCCTCTTGCTGGAAACAACTTCTCTTTTGCTAAGTTACACCAAAATCGATCAATATGGCTTTATCTCCCTCTCAACTCGCTCAAGCTCTCAAGGGGTACTCTCTCTGGACAGGTAGCCGCAAATGGAGACCATAAAGGCCTTTAAATAGGGCTCAGGCCCTGAGATTTAGGGTTTCATTTTACAGCGCGGACTCGCCGAGTCCACGCATCGACTCGCCGAGTCCATTCATTAAATCCAGTCAGCATTCGCGGTCCTACTCGACGAGTCTATGACTCGACTCGTCGAGTCCCTTTATTTTCTCAAAAATAAATGATAAAATATAATACCTCGAATTCCGGATGTTACAATTCTCCCCCGCTAGAATAGACTTCGTCCTCGAAGTCTTGCTCCACAAACAACTCTGGATGCTGCTCACGCATCTCTAACTCCGGCTCCCAAGTCAGCTCGGACCCCCTCCGATGTTGCCACTGGACCTGTACCAGGGACACCTCCTTGTTCCTCAGAACCTTGATTTTCCGATCCCGGATCGCGATTGGCCTCTCAGCATAATTCAGGCTCGCATCCACCTGAATATCCTCCAGTGGTACCACCACCGACTCGTCGGCTATGCGCTTCCTCAACTAAGATACGTGGAAGGTATCATGAATCTGGCTCAACTCCGCAGGTAGCTCCAATCGATATGCTACTCTGCCTACCCTCGCAGTCACCCTGAACGGACCGATGTACCGGGGCCCCAACTTGCCCCTCTTCCTGAATCGGATCACTCCTTTCCAAGGAGATACCTTCAGGAGTACGAAATCTCCCACCTGGAACTCAAGCTCGGATCGTCGCCTATCCGCATAACTCTTCTGGCGACTCTGAGCTGTCAATAACCTCTGTCTAACCTGCTGTATCTGCTCTGTTGTCTGAAGCACTATCTCAGTGCTACCCATCACACGCTGCCCTACCTCTCCCCAGCAAATGGGAGTCCGACACCTCCTCCCATACAACAACTCGAAGGGAGGCATACCAATGCTCGAATGGTGGCTGTTGTTATAGGAAAACTCAGCCAATGGTAGGTATGTGTCCCAGCTCCCTCCGGAGTCCAACACACATGCTCGAAGCATGTCCTCGAGCGTCTGAATCGTCCGCTCACTCTGTCCGTTCGTCTGGGGGTGGTAGGCGGTACTGAAATGCAACCTCGTACCCAACTCCTCGTGGAACTTCTTCCAGAACCTGGAAGTGAAACGTACATCTCAATCCGACACAATCGAGATCGGCACCCCATGTCGCGATACCACCTCCCTCACATACAACACTGCCAGCCTCTCGGCAGAAGAGCTCTCACTGATAAACAAGGAAATGCGCGCTCTTCGTCAGCCGGTCGACGATCACCCAAATTGCATCGACACCCCGTGCGGTCCTCGGCAATTTGGTGATAAAATCCATAGAAATATGTTCCCACTTCCATTGGGGAACGTCAAGTGGCTGCAACTTGCCATGCGGACGCTGGTGCTCGGCCTTAACCCTGCGACAGGTCAAGCACCTCTCAACAAACCATGCTACATCCCTCTTCATACAGGGCCACCAATAGTCCCTCTTCAGGTCCAAATACATCTTAGTGGCCCTGGGATGGATCGAGAACCTCGACCGGTGCGCCTCCTCCATCAAAGTGGCGCGCGTCCCGCCTGCATACGGCACCCAAATCCGACCCTGAAAGGTCATCAGCCCACGACTATCGGTAACAAACTCAGGTACCTGCCCAATCACCCGCTCTCTCTTGCGGTTCTCCGGTCTCACGGCCTCTGCCTGGGCCTCCCGAATGGTGTCCAACACCGGAGTCATCACTGTCAATCGCATACAAGTGTCTCGAATCGGGGCACTCTCCGCCCTACGACTCAGCGCATCAGCTACAACATTAGCCTTGCCCGGGTGGTACAGGATCTCACAATCGTAATCCTTTACCACATCCAACCATCTCCTCTGGCACATATTCAGGTTGGGCTGATCCATCAGATACTTCAAACTCTTATGGTCCGTGTATATGGTACACCGAACCCCGTACAGGTAATGGCGCCAGATCTTGAGGGCGAACACCACTGCCCCCCACTCCAGATCGTGGGTGGGATACCTCGTCTCATGAGGCTTTAGCTGCCTCGATGCATACGCTATCACATGCCCTCTCTGCATGAGCACCGCACCCAACCCTGATATCGATGCGTCGCAGTACACCACAAAATCATCCATTCCCTCTGGAAGGGATAACACCGGGGCTTCGCATAACCTCTGGCGAAGAGTCTCGAACGAGGCCTGCTGCTCAGGACCCCACAAAAAAGTAACGCCCTTCCGGGTCAACCTGGTGAGAGGCACGGCGATCTTGGAGAAATCTTTAATAAATATCCTATAATAGCCGGTCAACCCAGGAAAACTCCTGATCTCGGTGGGGGATCTCGGCACCTCCCAACTCATCACCGCCTCAATCTTGGCCGGATCGACCAATATCCCATTCTGATTAACGAGATGTCCCAGGAACTGGACCTCTCGTAACCAGAAATCACACTTGGAGAATTTGGCGTAAAGCCTCTCCAATCTCAGAACTCCGAAGATCTCCCTCAAATGCTCCTCATGCTGCTCTCTGGACCTCGAATACACCAATATGTCATCGATGAACACGATCACCGATCGATCCAACATCGGCCTACACACCCTGTTCATGAGATCCATGAACGCTGCCGGTGCATTGGTGAGCCCGAAAGGCATCTCCACGAACTCGTAATGCCCGTAACGAGTCCTGAACGTCGTCTTCTGGATATCCTCATCACGCACTCTCATCTGATGATATCCAGACCTCAGATCAATCTTGGAGAACCAAGATGCTCCCTGCAACTGATCAAATAGATCATCAATCCTCGGCAGTGGGTAACGGTTCTTGACCGTTAACTTGTTCAACTCCCGGTAATCAATGCACATCCGGTGTGAACCATCCTTTTTCTTGACAAAAAGGATCGGCGCTCCCCACGACGAGCTACTCGGTCTGATAAATCCCTTCCCCAACAACTCCTGAAGCTGTGAGGATAAATCCTGCATCTCTGGTGGCGCAAGGCGATAGGGCGCCTTGGCGATAGGCGCTGCTCCCGGAACCAAATCGATGCGAAAATCCACCTGCCTCTCGGGAGGCACACCCGGCAACTCCTCGGGGAAAACGTCCGGGAACTCACGCACTATCGGCACATCATCAACAGAACTAGGCCTCTCCGTTGCTACTCGTGTGTCCATCACGTAGGCCACAAGCCCACTACAGCCCTGCTGTAGACTCTGCCTCGCTCTAGCAGCCGAACAGAATGTTGACCCTGAACGGGTACCCTCGCCGTACACCGTAAGAACTCCCCCACTAGGGTCTCGTATGGTCACCAACTGTCGCTCGCAGTCGATAACCGCTCCAAACCTGCTCAACCAGTCCATGCCCACGATGACACAGACATCTCCCATCGCAATTGGGACCAAATCAATCGGAAACTCAACGCCGAAGATCTCGAGTACGCAACCTCGGATCACCTCAGTAGCATACACCGCTCGCTCGTCGGCTATAGAAACTCGTAGAGGTCGACTCAACGCCTCTCGCTGAACACTGATGTGCTGACTAAATGCTAATGACACGAAAGATCGACTCGCACCCGAGTCGAATAACACCAACGCAGGTACAGAACTCACAAGAAAAGTACCTAAGCATAACACAATATAAGCACAAAATCTCAAACTCAAAGTAGGTAAGTAAAAGAATACATACCGGCCACGACATCGGGCGCTGCGCGGACCTCCTCCGCTGTCAACTAGAAGGCTCTCCCGCGAGCCTTTGGTGCCTCGGCCTTCACTGGCCGGACCTCGGTAGCTCTAGCAGCAGGTGTAGATCCATGTGCTGATCCCTGTAGTAGCTGAGGGCACTCGGCCTTCCGATGGCCGGTCTGGTTGCAATGAAAGCAAACCGAGAATCCCTTGGGGCAATCCCTCGCGAAATGCCCCTCCTTCCCACACTTGTAACACACCCCAGCTCTGAACATCCCCTTGTGACTCTTGCCGCACTTCCCACAAGTACGGCCCTTCGAACCCCCAGATCTCGAATCAGCGGGCTTTGCCCGCTTGGCTGCCGGCTGCGCCTGTGTCGGTCGCCTGTCCCTCCTCTGAGACTCGGCCTCCTCCCTGACCTGAGTCTCCAGCTCAATCTCTCGCTTCCGGGCATTGGCCTGAAGCTCGGCAAATGTCCGGTATGACGAGTTCGCCACGAACTCACGGATATCCCTACTCAGTATGCTCAAGTACCGTCTCATACGTGCCTGCTCAGTCGACACGTGCTCAGGGCAAAACAACTCCCTCTCGTGAAACATCCTCGTAATCACCGTCACAGACTCAGTTCCCTGCTTGAGGGATAAGAACTCCTGGGCCAGTCGTTCCCTCTCCATAGGAGGAACATACTTATCTCGAAACATCGTGGTGAACCTCTCCCAGGTCACCGCAGTATGCTCTGTCGTAGTGAAGTCTGCCGTTACAAACTTCCCCCAGTCCTTCGCTCCCAAGCGAAGCTGGTTCAGCGCAAACCGAACCCTCAGATGCTCCGGACACGAGCAGGTGTAGAAGCATCCCTCGATATCAGAAATCCACCTCATCGCAGCAATCGGGTCCTGCGTCCCATCAAACTCTGGTGGCTTCATGTTGTTGAACTCTCGGTACAGCAACGAGTCACCCCCCCTGCGGCCTGGCAACAGCGACGGCTGCGGTGGCCGCAGCAACAGCAGCCTCAGTAAGAGCAGCGTACCGTTCATCAAAAGTCTCGATCAGCGTGGTCTTGATAGACCCGCACATCTCTGGTATCTCAGCTCGAATGGCTGCAGCCACCTCCTCGTGAATCAACCTACGAATCTCCTCATCGCTGGTACCATTGGTACCACTGTCTCCTGGGCGGTGGCGCGTCCCAACCATGATGTCTCTGAAACACAATACAAAAGAATCAGAGACTCGTTCGAGTATACTCGCACTCGATACTCAACCCTACTTGTTCTTCAGCACCCTAAGGATTCTTACTTGGACTGCTCACCGATCCTGTGTTTCCAGTAGTACGGGCCATTATACTACCTTCCACAGCGCATCGGTATTCACCCCAAGTCCTCCTCCTAGGATCCCAGATCACAAGTACTCTATATCTCACTGAACTCAGACTACTCTCTAGTAGACCACTCATAAATTCCTCGCTGCTACCTACTTATTCTCGAAGTATCTCATAGTAGCAGTAACTCCTAGTCTAAGGCATCACAAATCAGGCCACTATAGTCCTAATATGAATACCTAGCCTATTCTAGCATGCATATCATATCTCATAACACATAATGTAAGGGTATTTTGGGAAATCACCGTTCAGGCGCTGACTGATCGTACACACTGATCCGTTCTGCTTTTCTCAAAAGTCCTTTACTCTTTTGGAAAAATTGTTTCTTTTATGAAAAATTCTCTCAAATCCTCAGTTTGAGTTCAGATACGCCCGGAGGTGTATCCGAGTCTCTCAAACCAAGGCTCTGATACCAACTTGTAACAACGTAAATCTTCAAAACAATTTTTCATTTTAAAAACATACTTTCATTCATAAAATATCATAGTAACCCAAAGTATCACATGTTTCACAATAAACAAATCCCAAGATCCTCGAATACATAAATCCTCTCAGTGTGTACGGATCATGCCGGCGCCTTCCCGCGATCCTCGCTAGTACCTGAAACACATAACACAACAGCTGTAAGCATAAATGCTTAGTGAGTTCCCCAAAATACCACATACAACACATACGCCACTCGAGGCTATAATACGACCCTCCGGTCGATGTGTCTCAGCGGGACCCTCCAGTCTCGTAGCTCGTTGGACCCTCTGGTCCGGTCATAGCTCGTCGGACCCTTCGGTCCAGTCTGTGTCGTTGGACCCTTCGGTCCGGTCTATATCGTTGGGTCCTCCGACCCGGTCTATATCGTTGGGCCCTCCGGCCCGGTCTGTTCAACACATAGCATACATATAACACAATGCACATAATCTCATATATACACATAGCATACAAGACCCTCTGGTCTACACATAAATACCACTCTAGGTAATGTATAGTGAGAAGACTCACCTCGGGTAACTCGGTAAACCTCGAACTCTGAAATACTGCACTAGCCTTTGCCTAATCACATAAATAATTACTCTAATTAATACAACTTCTAAAGGCTAGGCCACCCCATCTCTATAAGTTCTCTAAGAAGGGTAAAAGACCATTATGCCCCTCTAATGGCTCATAAGTCCCAACACTGACTAACGCTAAAAGTCAACAAAAGTCAACGGTCAACATTGACCGGACTCGCCGAGTGCACTAGAGTGACTCGGCGAGTACATGCATGTCCTCCTCGCCCCTGTCCTCACTTGACTCGCTGAGTCAACCCTATACTCCACGGGTCGCCACAGGTCGCGAGTCGCGGGGCAACCCGACTCGACTCGTCGAGTCCCTTATGGGCTCGGCGAGTTCCTCCCATGAAAACTCTCAAAAGATCTCTTGAGGTCAGATCTGCTTCACCAAACAGTAGATCCATCCTTTTAACACTCGAAAGTCACGTAAAGGTTCAAACTTTACGTTCATGCAATGCTTATAAGACCAAAAATGGAGGAATAACCTTTTAAATGTGATTTTACTCTCAAGGCTCACATGAAACCTCACAAAGCTGGAAGCTTGGGACCTTTTGGACCTCTCAAGGTCCAGATCTATCATCTATACTCAAAGGGACCCCCTATGCTTCACAATCTAACTCAAAATGGTGCAAAGGAAGCCCTAGATCATAGATCTTAACCCAAAACAGAAAAGGAGTTCGATTAGATACCTCAACAGCGTAGATCTGAACTTGAAAACTCTGGATCCACAGCTCCCTTGACCTCCTCTTGCTGGAAACAACTTCTCATTTGCTAAGTTACACCAAAATCGATCAATATGGCTTTATCTCCCTCTCAACTCGCTCAAGCTCTCAAGGGGTACTCTCTCTGGACAGGTAGCCGCAAATGGAGGCCATAAAGGCCTTCAAATAGGGCTCGGGCCCTGAGATTTAGGGTTTCATTTTACAGCGCGGACTCGCCGAGTCCACACATCGACTTGCCGAGTCCATTCATTAAATCCAGTCAGCATTCGCGGTCCTACTCGACGAGTCTACGACTCGACTCGTCGAGTCCCTTTCTTTTCTCAAAAATAAATGATAAAATATAATACCTGGAATTCCGGATGTTACACATGGATCCTATGGAAATGAAAGGTCATGGGTATTAGGGTTTACATGAATGTAACCCTAATCCTCTACAATATATAAAGAGGTCCCCTAGTTCATGAAATGGCACTAGTGTGTGTACACAAGAGGGTAAAACTGATTTTGGTGCAAGTATCCTTATTCTCAAGTTATTCCAAGGGTTCTTGGTGTTGTGTGAACCATTTGAGGTGCAACACTTGGGGCACTAGGCTCTTAAAGGTTAAAGACTTCAAGCTCCATCAAAAGGTATGTCATTCTACTAGATTCTTGTATTGTATATACTTCATATTATGCTAGTTAGGATGAAACCTTGGAATATTTAATATTTGCATGTATAATAGAGAATACATAGATCCAAGGTTTATAGGGTTGCATGTACACCATAGGAGTGTTAGAATGCTCAAAACCCATCACCAAAAGCATGCAAAACTCTAAGCTAAACTAGATATAAACCAAGGAATCATAAAAGTTCAAGCTTTATACATTCTAAGGCTTACAAATAGGATGAAAGTTTTGGAACATCAAGCTTCAAACTCCCCAATGCTTCTCGAATGGGTTCCTTCTTTATAAAACACACAAAAACTCACTCAAAATGCTCAAGATTCTCATAAAGTGTCTAGCGTTTCAAAGTGACTGCTTTGGAAGTAGAGGTCGAAGATAAGGGAGGCCTCAAGGAATTAAGGTCCTTAAAATAGGGTCTCAACCCTAAAAAATAGGGTTTTGAAATCAGCATGAGTACGCACTGCGTAAGATTTGTAGGCCCTACGTAGGGCATGAAGTTCCCGCGTTCCACTTTAATGACTTACACCCTTCGTACACCTTATGTACGCTCAATGTAAGGGCCAATTTTGCAAGAATTGAATATTTTGAGCCACGAATGAAAAATACCTAGGAACCGGGTGTTACATGGTTGCTGAGGCTGTATGGCTTCGTAACCTTCTCCATGAGTTATCATATCCATTTCCTAAAGAAACGTTTGTGTTTTGCGATAATGTGAGTGATATATATTTATAGTCTAACCTTGTACAACTTTAACATAGCAAGCATGTGGAAATAGATTTACATTTTGTTAGGGAACGTGTTCCTATTGGACATGTGCATGTTTCGCATGTGCCATCAACTTTACCAGTTTGCAGACATATTTACTAAGAGCCTTCCTACACAGTTATTTCTATACTTTAGGGGCAGTTTAAACATTCGCAAACCCCATGCTCAAAGTGAGGGGGTGTGTTAGTTATACATCTTGTATGGTGTAGGGTCCCTTATGTAACACTATTGTATCTATATTGTCATTTAATACGAAACCCTAGTTAAGGGGGACTTTTCCACGATTAACAAGGAGGTTGTAAAGCGCTTCTTTTCTTAGACTGATTGTTTGTATCTTGAAAGCCTTAGTTTCCTGTTTTTACATCAGTAGGTCCTTACATATAATGAGTATCACCACAAGAAAATAAAGGAATTACCGGTAACGCCTTTAGTGGTGACAAGGACCTTTAGCGTCGACTTATCAATTTGTCGCGGCTAAAGGTGCTTGTCGCTGCTAATTGCGTCCCCGATGATGCTTAGTGGACCGAATCCGCGTTCTCACCTTCTGGTAAACCCCAACCGTTCGATCGTGTATCTAATCCAATGACAGAGGTACTAGCTTTCGCATAAAACCAATACCGGTGACATAAAGTCGCCGCTAAAGACCTAAAATTTTCGCCGTTAAAGGTCGAATAAAGATGCGCCTTCATTTCACTCGTCGTATGTCACCCCTATTGGTTCGTGTCGCCGGTATTAGTTTACTTGTCGCCGCTATTGGGTGTCGCCGCTATTGGTCATTACACCCCAATCACTTCCTCTTCCTACCTTATGCTCTCATTTTTTTTTTCCATTTTCTCATTTGCTCTGATGATTCTCCCTATCTCCGACGATTCTCCCTCAATTAACAGCCCCATAGTAGAAGAGATACCAGTGGCCACCGAAAAATTCCCCTCTCCGGCCACCGACAATGTTGCTGCTAGGGGCAGGATCCCAGAATCATATTCAGGATCCTTAATATTCCTAAAACCTCAGGATCCTTAAACATATCTCAGGATCCTAACTATTTTCGCTAATATTTCCTAACACTTATAACGACTATATTCTTCTTTCTTTTTCTCATATGTGCCGACTTAGTCAACACAATACTCATTCTCAACGGAGAATCATTTTAACCAAGCTTAAGACCCAGAAATACCAAGTCAAACAACATGTAAATGCTTGTTCAAGAAGGATCCCGGAAATATCAGACTTCTTATTATTCAGCTTAGACTATAAATAACACCTGTAAATTTCACACTACACACACGATTAGCTCTATTATCACACTTGTACTCGTGTTATCTTCATCATCTCTGTAATCTCAGATTAAAATCAATAAAAAGCAACAAGGCAGGTGATCATTATCACCACTCGAGGTTTTATGTTGGAGATCCTACAAAGGATAAGGGGATTTCCATGTAACTCACTTGTTTCACTTTGATTATTATTCTATACTTGCATTATCCAAACATCACAACCTCTAATATAATTTGGTTGAATTATATTTGATCAATTTTCGACCAAAACAGTTGCTACTTTCGATTTCCTCCTCCAAGGTTCGTGTTTCCTTCCTCATTTCTTCCTTTCTTTCTATTTTAATGTCGATTTCCAGAAGTATTTGTGATTAATTGCATTTTTTTCAAAAAGCTTTTTCCTCCATTCTCACCGCCGCTACCCCCGGCTGTTGCTGTCACCAGCGACAACTACCACCACCAATACACTAACTACTGATTTTTGGCCGCCATAGGTTTTATTTACTGATTTTGGAGATTAATTGCAAAAATATGTGTATTTGGTGTATATGTGGTATATGTGTGTATTTATTATATGTATATGTGAATTTGGTGTATGTGTGTGAAAATTTGTGTATTTGGTATAAGTAAGATGTTATTACGTATGTATGTGAAAATATGTGTTTTTGGTATAAGTAGGATGATATTGTGTATTTGATGAATGTATTTAGAATGTATGTGTATTTGGTGTATATGTGGTATGGGTATGTGAAAGTATGTGTATTTGATGTTATTATGTAGGTATGCGAAAGCATGTGTTTTTGGTATAAGTAGGATGTTATTGTTTATTTGATATATGTATTGAGAATGTATGTGTATTTGGTGTATATGTAGTATGTGTATGTGAAAGTATATGTATTTGATGTTATTATATATGTATGTATGTGAAAGCATGTGTTTTTGGTATAAGTAGGATGCTATTGTGTATTTGATATATGTATTGAGAATGCTATTATTGTAGGACGCTCTTATTGAAAAAAACATATAAAGTAAGATGCTATTATTGAGAATGCTATTTTTTATAAAAAACAAACAATGTCGATTGTAAAGAAAAAAAAAACAAATAAAGTAGGATGCTATTATTAGCAATGAAAACATAAAGTAAACCACTACAATAGAAAACAACATAATATAATTTTTTAAAATACAATGTTATAATTGAAAAAAAAATGTTATAAATAACAAAAATATATAAAAAGTACAATGCTCAAATAGAAAAAAAAACAATGTAATACATATAAAGTAAGATGCTATTATTGAGAATTATTTTTTTTAATAAAAAAAATGTGGATTGTAAAAAAAAACAAATAAAGTAGGATGCTATTATTAGCAATGAAAACATAAAGTAAACCACTACAATAGAAAATAACATAATATAATTTTTTAAAATACAATGTTACATATGAAAAAAAAAACAAAAAAAAATGTTATAAATAACAAAAATATATAAAAAGTACAATGCTCAAATAGAAAACAACAATGTAATACATATAAAGTAAGATGCTATTATTGAGAATGCTAGTTTTTTATAAAAAAACAATGTGGATTGTAAACACAATGAAAACATAAAGTAAACCACTACAATAGAAAACAACATAATATAATTGTTTAAAGTACAATGCTATAATTGAAAAAAAATATTATAAATAACAAAAATATAAGTAAAGTACAATGCTCAAATAGACAAAAACAATGTAATACATATAAAGTAAGATGCTATTATTGTGAATACAATTTTTTTATAAAAAAAACAATGTAGACTATAAAAATAAAAATAATAATAATAATAATAATAATAATAATAATAATAATAATAATAAAGTAGGATGCTATTATTAGCAATGAAAACATAAAGTAAACTACTACAATAAAAAACAACATGATATAATTATTTAAAATACAATGCTATAATTGAAAAACATGTTATAAATAAGAAAAATATAAAAAAAGTACAATGCTCAAATAGAAAAAAACAATATGATACATATAAGGTAAGATGTTATTATTGAGAATGCTATCTTTTTATAAAAAAAACAATGTGGATTATTAATCACTTTTGGAAATCACATAATCGGGTAGTGGAAGAGCTCTTAGAACAAACACAAGGACCAGAAGGTGAAAGATAGTTAACACCCGCTCAAGAAAGAGCTACTTTCGAGAGAGTATTAGGTGAACGACATGGTCATATTAGAGACATCAGCCAAAAACATTATGTTATTCCGCTGATTATACAACCATCGCAGCCACCACCACAGTCATCACAACCATCAAAGGTAAAACAAGATTATTTAATTTCAATAAATGCATATTAATTTGGTAGTTTTGGTTTGTGGTGATTATTTGCTAAAAGCGTTGGTAATTGGTTTTTTGTCCCAAGTGCAAGAAATAGCAATGTACTTTAGTTTTTTTTGTCTTAGTTTAAAAATAGCAATGTACTTTGGCATGAATAAATGCATTTTGATTTGGTAATTGTGTTTTTTTCCCAAGTGCAAGAAATAGCAATGTACTTTTGGTATTTCTTATATTTAAGTGTAAGAAATAGCAATGTACTTTGGTATTTCTTGTATTTAAGGTTCTTTAGCATGAAAAAATTAGATTATTTAATTCCAAAGTCTCATGTATCTATATAATGATCAATAAATGCGTGTCGATTTGGTAATTGTGTTTATGTTTTAAGTGCAAGAAATAACAATGTACTTTGGTTTTTTGTCCATAGTTTAAAAATAGCAATGTACTTTGGTATCAATAAATGGATGTTGATTTGGTAATTGTGTTTTTGTCCCAATTGCAAAAAATAACAATGTACTTTTGGTATTTCTTGTATTTAAGTGCACGAAATAACAATATACTTTGGTATTTATTGTATTTAAGGTTCTTTATCACAAAATAGTAGATTATTTAAATTCAAAGTCTTATGTATCTATATAATGATCAATAAATGCATGTTGATTTGGTAATTGTGTTTGTAATTGTGTTTATGTTATAAGTGCAAGAATTAGCAATGTACTTTAGTTTTTTGTCCCTAGTTTAAAAATAGCAATGTACTTTGGAATAATAAATGCATGTTGATTTGGTAGTTTTTGTTTATGTTTGATAATTTAACTTATAAGTTTATATATGTTGTTATTTATCATGTAGTTGGAAAATTTTCGAGCAATGCTCAACGACCCATCGTGTAGAGATGAGCTTTATACGTTTTTTCAATCAGGGAAAGATCAAGGAGGAAACGACGGGAATGGAGGTGATGGTTCGTCGGATAATTAGTTTATGTTTTGTATGTTAGACTTGTCGTGACACTTTGGTACTTGTTGGAATTATAAAACTTTGGTTATTTATTTTGGTATGAAATTAATTATAACACTATTTGGTACCTAATCGAATGTTATTATGTAATTTTTTCTGCATTTAATGTCGTTATGTATTGGTTTTTTTGCACCCAGAATCATTGATTTAATAAAAATTATAAAAAATGGTTATTACCGGCGACACTATTACCAATAACAGAGGGAATTACCGGCGACAAGAACAACATATGGTATTACTGACGACATTTTGAGCAATAGCGACAGAGCATTATCGGCGACTTTTTACCGGAGACATGTCGTCGCTATTACCTTTACCAGCGACTCTGTCAGCCTTTACTGGCATCTAAAGTCGCCGCTAATTCTCTTTTTTCTCGTAGTGTATAACACTAGTTGACAAACAGTTAACAGTTTAAACTCGTTATCTCAACCACAGTTACAGCACTTGAAAGTAAAACAATTTTTTTTTGGACTTCTAACAACAAAATACTAACAACATAATACTAACAAGATTAGTTTTACAGTTTAGTTGTGAATTGGTTCCGACGAAAATTAGATAGGTGAATAGGAATGTAGATATAAACGTGATTTATGAAAAGAAAAAAAATTAAAAACCATACATTTTCCAAGGAAAACTGTAATTTATTTGCAGTAACCGTCATACCATTACGTCGTTTCTTACAACTGCGTACATACACTCTCTCCTCTCCTGGATCCGGTGGGCAATGGGGGCGCACGGCGACTATTGGTTTTCAAAAGCAACGGCAGTAATTCCACTAGCTTTAATAATTATACTACTCTTTACTGCATCCGCCGGTGGCGGGAAACACATTGTAGGAGGCTCCATCTGGTCGATCCCTCCGAGCGTTCACTTCTACAACAACTGGTCGACTTCTCAAACCTTCTTCCCTGGCGACGTTCTCTGTACGTACTCCCTAATAATCTCTCTTCAAAAGCTTCTTCAATTTCGTTACTTTGAACTAAAAAAACATGCAGATTTCGATTTTGAATCAGAAATGTACAATGTGCACCAAGTGCTTTCGGATGAGTACAGTCATTGTGAATCCACCCTTTCGCCAGTAAACGCTTACGAAGAAGGGCCGGCGTTGGTAACATTACCAGAAACAGGTGAATATATGTTCTTATGCCCCATGTTGAACTACTGTTCCCAGGGAATGAAAATGATGATATGGGTCAGACTGCCCGCCGCTTCTACTCCACCGGTTAGGGTACTGCCTTGATTTTCTCCCGCGACCATTATATATACTCGATGCAAGTGTCATCCGGACCGGGTGTCCTACGTCTTTACCCACGGCCGGTATATGATTATCTTATTTGATGTTAAACTTCAAAAGATCTTAATTTGCATGTAGTTTTTGTATTCGTGTTTAATTTTTTTATGATGATTATGTTGTTAATTAGTTCAAAAACCTTTTACATTTTATTAGTATATGCGAAGCCTCATCTCCAAAGAGTGTGCTGCATGAACGGATAACACGTTGATCTTAGACTTGAATTGTCTGGAAAGCCGAAACTAGACTCTCTAGATTGTTTTGCGTGAACGTACGTTTAATCAACGAGTAAACTCAATGAACAATGTAGCGATTTGAGTTTTTGATCATACTAATCGTCTAATGCTTACTAAAGTTAATTAGTGGTAGTTTTGTTTGCAAAATGTTTTTAAATGAATTGAACTCGTCGAATATGGGATCTTCAAGAAACTATAATCTCTATTCTCTCATGCATTCGGTTACTAGGAGAGTAGGAGATGGAATGAGGTTCAATTGTATTTGTTACTTAGTTTCTACATAAACAAATTATATGTACCCCATTTTTCACATCAAAATTCTTATGTAAATATTTTTTAAATTATAATCAAGTATTTTCACATATAGATGAACTAATCAAAACATGTTACAACCAGGAAAAAAAAGGTTATTAATCAACAGAGTTCAAATAAAACATCTCAATATAATACAATAAATAATGTTATATCAGGTTTTATCTAATTTGGTGGTTGGTACGTTACTAATTATTATACTAATTTCGTTTCATTTTTTGTGTATGCGCGCATGTCGAAGATGACTTTTGACATTAATTTATTTACTTTTTCAATCAGTTAAAAATATTATCTCAAGTTTTATTAGAAGAACCTTGTGAAAATTATATTTTTGTTTATTAAAGGAATATAACATTTTGAAAACTGAAAACCGTCCCTAGCTGGGCCTGCAAGGCTTTGTTGATGCCAAACTATATCTCAGGTAGGCGTTATAAGGGATTATGCCGAGACACAACAAGTTACTCGTACGCACAAAAATATACAATCAATTTAAAACTAATAAAAACAGAAACAAACGAAATAGAAATATGTGTTACAACGAATCAATTTACAAGAAACGTACTTGAAATCGAAATACTAACAAAATTGATATTGATAGAATTATGCGATTTTCAGTGTTCTATCTAAGACAGAAGTTTCCTTCCATGTATGTGGAAAACTTTTTTTTTTTCTTTTTAAGATAATATGAGTGTGTGTGTTCTCAAGGCCTTGAAATTTGTAGATATTGTATCTATATAAAGCCTTCTTATGGAGGCTATCAATCACCAACCCAAATTAACTGATAAAAAACTGCAAGCAGTTAACTTCATAAATAAAATAATTTAACAATTATAAATTAATTAGAAAGATAGTGTTTATAACAAAATTATAAATTAATTAAAATTACTGTCAGTAATATGTGACTCTCACTAGTGACTTGGTAGTGAGTGTCTTATAATAAAATTAAAATTGACGGTTCCAAAAAAAATTAAAAAAACTGTCAAGCTCCATCATCACCGTCTTCCTTGCAGCCACGTCACCGTCTTTCTTCCCCGTAGCCATTAATGATAATGAGGAGCTGTTACTGATGGCATTAAAAGAGCGGTGCCAAAGAGATGTCAATTACACAAGACCCTAATTAATCCAATGATTTAAAAGTTACAAGCTTCTTGTGTAGTTAATTAAAAATTTCTCGTTAATTCTTTCCTTTCTTTTGACAAAATCTACTCTCGATACATCATGTTTGGTGTGTTTCTCCTCCAATATTATTAATTTGCCTTTCTTGATTTCTTCTACGTCCATTTCCATCATTTAAAGCCTTCATCTGAATACACACACACTATAGAAGACTGCGAATGCACACTCAAATGTGTGTTCTTTTGATGTAATCTCAATATCTCATTTGATTTAGGTTCCATTGGGCTTCAGTTTGTGTTTCTTATTTCGTTTTGAGTAGAATATTGAAAAAGGGATTTAGGCGTGCTAAAATACCTTGTTTTGCATCTGGGGTTTCAAATACTAATGGAAAAAAATTCAAAGACCTGAAGATCTAAATAAAACTCTAGTCTGGGTCATTTTTGTATATTATTTATTTCAGAAAGATCAAATATTAAAAAAAAAAAAAAAAAAAAAAAAAACTCATTTTAATAGTTAAATCAGTAATCGGTAACAATAATATTCTTTATCCAATACTTGGATTTGCATCTTGTCTTGTAAAACCTTTACCTATCTTTTAGGGAATTCTTATTGTAAATTACAAAACTGGCCCCAAAGAAGGTTAAAATGGTTCCTATTTTCTGAATAATAATTCAGACATTTGAAGAGATTCAATTGTTATACTGTTTAATGGCCGAGAAACGATGAGAGCATACAATTGAATTATGCTTTTCGTTTCTCTCGTTCTCTAATCTCACATGTTGTCTGGAAAACTTAAGTTAAGAAACATATTAATATCTCTTAACAATAAGCTAAATGTTGCGCAATTTCAATTGCTTTCTGGGCAAAAATAATAAACAAATAAAATCCCACCAAATTAATATTAAAAAAAGAATCAGAAATTGAGTTTGGTCAAGTTGCTCATAGATTATAATCTTTTTGCTACATAAAAAATTGCTTGCTACTTGCGTATGTAAACAAATAAGTCTAAAGTTTTAGTGAAGTCAAATCCGCTGGGTCGGGAATGGCGAGTTCCGGCACACCGGACAAGTAGGATGAACCCTTAACCACGTATCTACACAACTTACATGAAACAAGTGACTGCATTCCGGCAACAACCGGATGACATCCGCAGGTTTATAATCCGCCAAGCAAATAGAGCAGCCAGCAGAACCACAATTATCAGCATGGGTCGCCGACTTAGTCTCGCCGTTGAGAAGCATCGCGACTTCAGAGTATAGAATTGTCGGGAAAGTCCCCAAGACATCATCATCAAGACCTGTACTGTCGTCGTCGTCGGAATGGACGCTGTCATCGAGAGAGATGATGGGTAGTGATTGAGAGCGTATGCTGCGCCTATAGATGTAAGAACCATAAGAGAGAACGATTATGAGGAAGAAGACAGCGAAGAAGACTCCTAAGTTGGAGGTGAAGGCTCTTTCCGTATGTAGGGTGTCGCCGGTGGTGTACGATGGTTCTCCGGCGTCCATATTCTGTGCGTGAGTCGTGAGGAGGAGTTTATGCGGAAGTGAAATGCGAAGACGGTGCCTTCTACTCTACCTTCGGATCTAAATCGTGAGGCATTGGCCGAACAGTCATCTAAAGGGCCAGTGGAACTTCCTTTTAACTATCCTGTCAACTTGATTAACAAGTAGAATATTCCAATTAATTATTTGGAAAAAACAATTTTCAGTTAATTTTCAGTAGTGGGTTTGACTTGTCATCTATAAACTCATGTCATTGATAGGATATAGATCATTTGTCGTCTCTCATATCTAAGAAATCTTTGAGTTCTCATTTATCTTGTCGACTTGCTTGTATACGTTTGAATCTTAATTTTCACTTTCACGCAATTAATGGCTATTATATTGCATTGAATTCGTCGTTATTTACTAAAGTCAAACAACTTCTGACACACCGGACAAGTAGGATGAACCTTCAACCACGTATCTATTCAACTCAAATGAAATACGTGAGCATCTTCCGGCATTAAACGGAGGACGTTCAACTGGTTATAATCCGCCAAGCAAATAGAGCAACCGGAACCATACTTATTATTGGCACTGGTTACAGAGTCGCTCTTGTGAGTCACCACGGCCTCCGAGTAGAGAATCGTCGGAAAAGTCGAAATGACGTCATCGCAAAGACCTTGAGGGAATCTTATAATATGGTAGTCGTCGGCGCCGTCACTGGTGGAGTGGTGGTGGTCGGTGGTGATAATCGAGAGTGTATCCTGCGGTTGCAGATGTAAGAAGTATAGCAGAGGGTGAATACGAAGAGGAGAGAAGACCAAATAGAACCCAATGCTGTAGGCAATGTATCCTTCGATATCATCGGAGCAGTCTTCACCGCCGCTGTAGGATGGTTCTCCGGTCTCCATATTCCGCGTTCAGGATGAAAGAGAAATGTCAACTTAGGTTGTTTATATGGAATCACTGAAATATATATAAACAATGGGCACGATTTTTTCCAGAAAATAATAATATTTGATTAAATATAAAGCTTAAATCACGGAATCAATAATAAAATATACTTGGAACAAAATCAAGCTCTATGAATACCCTCCAATAAATATAATATTTACAATATTTGAATACATATAATTACAAGATTTGTATATATATGTAGGTTTGTTTTGATTTTAGTTAGGAAAATCTCACTTTAGCACAATAAATCGCAATTGTCCTATTTTGGCATGGCCACGACGTGGCGTTGACTTTGACTAAGTTTGACCATTATCTATTTGACATGTTTGACTTCGGGTCAAATTTGAAGGGTTTGGGTTGTTAATTAAAACTCTTCCATGTTTTGGTGATAGAGGGCTCGTGGGAGCAAGCAGTGCAAAAGGGAAGTGTTTTGTAATGTTTCTTAGTCCTTCATTTCAAGTGAGTTTTCCTCACTGTACTTGTTGGTTGAAGGCGCCAATGTCGGCCCACTAGATTATGTATCCTGGTATATAGGATGTTGTTATGATGTAGTGATCTCTTAAATCTGCATCATTATATGTTTGTTATTTATATGTGTATCTATTGCATATGTCGATATAGCACGGTAGGGTTGAGGCAATACTGCTCTATGCGGAAGCCAACAAACCCGAGAGCAAGCCAGACTCATATTGTAGGCTCATGGGTAATCCAGTCTGATGATTGTAGACCTGGTATGCATGTTGTTATCCGTATGGTTATGTGTGGTACTTTATGGGAACTTACTAAGTTTTGACTTACAATTTGATTGTTATGGTTTCAGGTACTTCAGAGGATATGGTAAAGGCTCAATCGTACACATCCTTCGTATTTTATGATGTTTGATTTGGGATACTCGGATTCACTATTATAACTTTTGGAAACTATGTTTTGTAAACATTTATGATTTGTGGATTGGTTTTGAAAGAAAATGAAAATTTTACCTTGATTTTTGAGATGTTAAAAGTTGGTATCGGATCCCTGGTTTGAGAGAATTGGATGACCATTCGTGTGAATCCAGAGTCAAACTAAGGATCTGTAAAAGTTTTCAAAATAATTTTCAAATTAATTTTCAAATTAATTTTCAAATTAATTTTCAAAATTGTTTTCAAATATGTTTTTCAAGGGTAACCAAAGAATGATGAGATGTGTACGATCATCCGGAGCAAAAAAAGTATACCCCTAAGATAACCACACTATTATTTGCTTATGATAGAACTGCATGCTCGTTGTAGGGTAGGGATCTTCAGGAATTGCATAATAGAATTTCCTGAATTATGATGCCTTATGCCTATAGAGTTTTATTGATCGAATGTTGCTTGCTTGTTTCTTGTAGGACTCTTTCGAGTGTGAATTAACTATTAATTGAATACGTTAAGTCGCATGTTGTATGGGTTAAATAATCATAAAGTGAAGGATTTGTTCCTATTGTGCAACTCTTGTCTGAGTCCAACCATTGTAGGGTTGAATCTTTTAATCTAAGATTATTAAAGTGACGTTGCATGTGATTGTATTCATGAAGTAGTTAATTGGCACCAATGGGGGTCTTTCGTCAGCTGATGGCAGGGTGAGATGAGTTCCTAGGAGAGCCTAGGAAGTGATTTACTTCATATTAAGAATATGAAGTAATAGTAAATAATATCCTTGTTGATCTAATCATAGCTACTTCTGAAAAGATTTGATCATAGTCAATGTCATGAGTATGATAGGACCATAGTCAATGATACGAGTATGATAAAATCCTTTTATGACAAGCATTGCTAAATGTGTATGATATCCACGTATTTATTCTTTCTAAAAGAATCTCTTACTCCTTCTAGCCTTGCTATAAAGAGGAAGATACATCAAGACCATACTTGATTATTATATGTAACATCTCAAAACCACAATAAATTTAAACTTTTTAAAACAACCCATTTACTGAAAAGAAGTGTTTAAATAATCATTGTTTTTAAAACATTATTCAAAAACAGAGTCTCCCAAGATCCAATCAGTCATAAAACCAAGGATGTGTATGGTCACGCCTTCGCCTTGCCACGATCCTCTGAAGTACCTGAAACAAAACTAAAATTGTAAGCCAACGCTTAGTGAGTTTCCCCTAAAGTACCACCACACAAACAAATAAGAGGTCTACAACCCCCTGGTTGGATTACCCCTGTCCCACAACCTTACCGTTGGAATGACCCGGCCCACAACCTTACGGTTGGAATGTCCAATACATAACGGGTCCACAACCTCCTGGTTAGATTACCCCCGACCCACAACCTTCCGGTTGGAATGCCACGGTCTTTTGACTTATAGCACAAAACAGTACAGTCTCAACCCCACCATACCATGTCGACATGCATATAACAAATAACATATATCCAACAACATATAATCATATAACCAATTAACAGACTAGCAGGTAGATCTACATATTACTACTGTATAGCAACATCCTAAATACCAGGATACATAACCAAAGGGGCCGACATTGGTTCCTTCAACCCCAAGAACAGTGAGGAAACTCACCTCACAGTTTGATGAATATTTGATCAATACTCTGCTCCCAAATGCCTGCATAACCCAAATCCTAAATGTCAAAACATTTCCTTTCTAAATTAATAACATTTTCCCACAATACCCTTGGTCAAAACTGGTCAAAGTCAACAATTCAACCGCGACAACACAGCCGAGTTGAATCAGGCTTCGTACGCGGGGTGTACCCTGGAGGTACGCTGGGCGTACAAGCGTGTCTGAGGCATCGGGGCCAGATCTGCGTACGTGCAGCGTACCCTGTGGTACGCCCAGCGTAAGCATCAGCCCTCCTTTTAGCCTATTAAACAATTATTTCTTCGACTTAACACATCCAATTGCAGATCCAAGGCTAAAATATCATCATGAGTCATAAAGTTTCCAACTTTATGACTTTGCATGTCCATTAAGTGCTTAAAACACCAAATCTCAACATCTAAATGCATTAAGACTTTCTATAGCATGCATGGAGTAAAACTAACCATCAAGACCACATTTTTATGACTTAAGACCCCGCCCCCCACCATAGGGTCTGAAAGGATGACTTGTTTGATCAAGAACATGTCATGCTCAAGAATCACCAAAAAAAACAAAAAAAAAACCATTTTGGTCCAAAAAGATTTACATAACATAATAAATCATACGTTATGATATATTTTGATACTGAACATTGAAATTAATATTTCCATAAAATAAATAATTTTCAACTAACTACAATATATATATATATATATATATATATATATATATATATATATATATATATATATATATATATCAATAATTAAATTCCTATAAATAATATATTTGCATCAAGTTGTTGTTAGTGTGACCCACTAGAATCATATATTATCTAGCAATATCATTCTATAATGACTCTTAGACATATAGATCTTTCATCCTAGGGTCTCATAATTTCATTCACTCCTACACACTCTCAAGAGTCGATATTTTGCTCTAGCCTCCCCTCTCCACAAGTCTTCTAGTTATTAGGGCTTTGGGTACAAGCCATTGGTTGCATCCAAGTTTTTGGTGCTTTCTTTCCAAGGAACTACAATAGGATTCAAGTTGATTATTTGGTATAATAATCAAGAGGTATGTAATCTTATTCTTTATGTGATTTTTTATTTTCATAGCCTCTCTCTAGGGTTTCTTGATATTCATTGTTTACTGTTGTTAGTAGAGAAAACATAGATCCAAACTAGGTTGCATGTGAACTTAAGGGTTAAGTGTTTTTCTGCTCACATGTGATTTTTATAACCTAGAAAGCCCATCAGTGGTATCAGAGTCTTAGTTTTCTATTTGATTGTTCATGAAAATGAATTTATTAAAATTAGGGTTTATGGAAATTAAACCCTAAAGGCTTAAAATTTGGCAAATGGATAGGGTTCTTGAAACCTTAGCCTTCACCCTTAATTTTGAAAATACTAGGGTTTCCCTTAGGGTTTCTAGTTTCCTTAATTACAATTTGAAATGCCTTAAAATTTGGATAATTAAAACTTGGTAACCCTTATCCCCGTTTTTCAAAAATAGTAAGGTACTTTTCTGTGTTTTTGATTTAGAAGTGGCCTGACTTCTAAATCAAAAACACAGAAATAGTAATTAAGGAAATTATACTTGATTTGTTCTATCTCTCAAGAACACCCTTAAATCTTGGAACTTATATACATGAAAATCATACTTGATTTGTTCTATCTCTCAAGAACACAAAATAGTAAGGTACTTTTCTGTGTTTTTGATTTAGAAGTGGTCTGACTTCTAAATTGAAATTCTTTGGATTATCTCAAATCTAATTTCGTGGTACCCCAGGCTATAGTGTCGAAATCACAGATTTTGGAAAGTGATTGCAATCACGATCCAAGTAAATTGATATTCTTAAAACCCCAAATTCTACACTCTAGATCTCCAAAAACACCTCCAAGGTGCTCCAATGGTGGAAAAATCGAAGTGTTGGTTGCAAGACCTAACTTCCAAGGTAAATGATGAGCCAAATGACCAAAACGCCCCCAAAAAGTGAAGTTGTGCGGGTACCCTCGCTAATTCGTGTGGGTGAGACCCCACCCTCGCAAATGATGCTGAAATACTATTGACTATTTTCTTCCACTACTCCACCTTACTACTCAAGATTCTCTTGGTCCCCTTCACAGCTCACATCAAATTTGGCCAATCATCTTCAAGCTTTAAAAATGATAGTCCAAGCCCAATAACAAGAGTCCATGACCCATCTTCATAATCCTATTCAATCCAAGTCTTCAACATGCCAAGCCCAATTCTCCCAAAATGGATCCACAAATCCCAAAAACTCCTCGAAAGCCCACCAAGCCCATCTCCAAGCTAAACCGCAACCACATCGAGACTCTAAAATCCTTCAAAACACCTTATACAAAATAAAAATTACCCGATACGATCCAAGATAAAGAAAAAAAGGAATATGCAATGCAATAACAATAAAAATGCTAAAATAAACTACAAAAAAAAAAAGGAAATAGAACAAACTATTATGTGTTCTCATACATGGCTCGTCCTTTACTTATATCAGTAACATAATTCATAAATCAGTCAAATAATATTGGTACCCTAGTTTTATCCAAGCAGAAGATATCTTCGTATTCGGTTTCATCTATCTTCATAGCAGACAACGAGATTTTTTGTCTTAGAAGTGCAAATTCGAGTTGGGAGGAAGCAATCACAAAGAATCTCGTTGTCTGCTTTGGAGATAGATAAAACTTTTTTCCAGAGTGTAATTTTGTTTTGTAAGTGCAAATTCTTTTAGTGTCTTCCTTAATTATTTTTGTCTTACAAGTGCAAATTCGAGTTATGATGAAACAATCACAAAAAATCTTGTTGTCTGCTATGGAGATAGATGAAACCAAAACCGAAGACATTATATGCTTGGAGAAAACTAGGGCACCATCATTATTTGACTGGTTCGTGAATTAGGTTACTGATATAAGTGAAAGACAAGCCACGTATGAGCACGCCTCATTAATGATTATCCCACGTACGATGTCGTGAGCAAAATCTGAAGAAACTGGTCATAAGAACTAAATGTGTACAAACTGAAAAAATATTACTCTATTAAGGTCCCATTTGATTTGCGTCTTTCCAGCTCCAAAAAGTTCTTTCTAGCTAAATGGCCGGAAAGACCGTTTGATTTGCACAAAAAAACTTGTCTTTCCCGGTAAGATGGGTCTTTCCCACAAAGCCACAAAACCCAATTTGAATGAAAAATACACTCGTTTTGGACAAATGTGCCCTAAAAAACGCCTCGTTTGTCTCCATCAGCGCCTCTATCAGGCATCATCAGCCGTGCCATCATCGCTCTTCCCTTCGTCAACCCAGACGTCGACGTCCTCCTCCGTCTCTGATCGGAAGTCGCCGACCCCCTCCATCTCCGGCCAGGTTCGTCTTCTTTTTTTTTTCTTTTCCTGATGCTTTTCTTCTTCTGAATCTATTTCCATAGGCATCGGTCTTTTTTTTCTGAAATCAAAATCAGATTTTGTTCAAAATCAGATAAACAAAATCATATTTTGTTTCATCTGAAATCAAAATCAGATCTTTTTTTCCTTTCTTCTTCTGAATCTATGAAATATTTTTGTGGGTAAAACCAAAATCAGATGTTGTTTCATCTGATTTTCCAGCATAGGAGGAGGACACATGTTGAATTTTGTTCAAACATGCTGGTTTTTGGAGATATATATATATATATATATATATATATATATATATATATATATATATATATATATATATATATATATGCTGATTTTTTTTTCAAACATACTGATTTGTAGATATATATGTTGAATTTTGTTCAAACATGTTGATTTATATATATATATATATATATATATATAGTTTTTTACATACATGCTGAATTTGAATATATATATCCTATTTTTTAACATGTATGCTTATATATATATATATATATATATATATATATATATATATATATATATATATATATATTGTTTTTTATTATAAACATGTCACAAATTGTAATATGGTCATTTTTCATCATTCAGCACAGTCATTAAGACGTACAATCAAACAACATGATTTTCTTTTCCAGTCAGAAAACTTTCCCAGACAGCACCTATCAAACGGGACCTAAGTCATTTTTCCGGTTTAACCTGAAGTAGTCGGTTATAAAGACTGAATGTAGACAAAAAAAAACAAGTTAAATAGTCTAATACTTACAAAAAAAAATGACCAAATAATTTCAAATCAAAAAGTATATTACTCTTTTAAGTTATTATCTTAAACATAAAACAAATACAGTACGAACTTTTTTTTTCTCTAACATGTTTGAGTGTTGAGCTTCCCAATGATGTATCATAATAACAACTTTTGAAGGTTTTATTAAATAATAACTAATTTTCAGTTTTATTCTACATAGGTTACTCAAAATTTGAAATTGTTTAATCACCAAAGTTTAAGTTTTGTTCCTTTGTTATGAAATTTTCTTAAATTGTAGGACATGAAGGACAACTCGTAAAATTATTTTGTTATTTGGAGTACCATGCATATTGGGGAAATGTAGGTGAATATATCTGAAGAAATGCCCGAGTAAAAGCATTCACAAGGCCCATAATGGGTTATTCATGATTTAAAAGTGCTTCGACTATTTAATCTCTGAGAGCATACAAAATTACAAATACAATTGAATTTTGCTTCGCTCATTAACTTTGTTTTCTTTTCTCTCATTCTTTATCTCACATATTGAAATCCTAGGTTATAGGAAAAAATGAAAAATATCAATATTTCTTAACAATAAGCTAAATGTTGCCCAATTTCAATTGCTTTCTGATTGGGCCAAAAGAATTTAAAAAAAAAAAAAAAAAAAAAAAAAAAAAAAAAAAAAAAAAAACCCGCAAATTAATATTCAAGGAAAAACAAAAATTGAGTTTGGTCAAGTTGCCAATAGATGATAGATGAGAGAATGGAATCTTTTTGCTACATAAAAAATTGCTTGCTACTTGCGTATGTAAACAAACAAGTTCAAAGTTCGAGTCAAGTCAAATCCATCGGGGTCGGCAATGGCGAGTTCCGGCACACCGGGCAAGTAGGATGAACCCTTAACCACGTATCTACACAACTTACATGAAACATGTGACCACATTCCGGCAACAACCGGATGACATCCGCTGGTTTATAATCCTCCAAGCAAACAGAGCAGCCTGCAGAGCCACAATCATCAGCATGGTTCGACGTGTTAGTCTCGCCGTTGAGAAGCATCACGACCTCAGAGTATAGAAACGTCGGGAAAGTCGCCAGGACGTATTCGTCAAGACCTTGAGAGAGTCTTATAAAGTGATATTCGTCGTAGTCGGAGTCGGTGGTGGTGTCGAAAGAGGTGATCATGGGTGGCAGCTGTGATTGAGAGCGCCTGCTGCGGTTATAGATGTAAGAAGCATAAGAGAGAATGATTAGGAGGAAGAGGACGACGAAGACGAATCCTAAGCCGTAGGTGAAGCCTCCTTCAGTATTTGGGGTGTCGCTGGTGGTGTACGATGGTTCTCCGGCATCCATGAGGAGGAGTTGTGGACTTCGGTTGTTTAAAAGCAGAAGTGGAATGCGCAGACATTCGGGGTCTTAATCGTGATTCGTGAGGCACATGCCAAGCCGTCATCGGCGTATGGCGTATCCTATGGGCCAGTCGATCTTCCTTTTAACATTTTTTATCTTGTCAACTTGAAAAATCAATTGTTATTTCGGAAAAGAAATAAATAACAAATTTTCAGTATTTGAGTGGAAATTGTGGGTTTGACTAGTCAACTATAAACTCATGGACAGCTATAGATTATTTGTCTTAGGGTTCAACTTGCACACGTTTCGAATCTTAAGTTCCACTTACACGTATCATGTCGTTAATTACTGAAGTCAAACGAGTTCCGACACACCGGACAAGTAGGATGGACCTTCAACCAAGTATCTATACAACTTAAATGAAATAAGTGACAACATTCCGGCAACAACCGGAGGACGTCCGACGGTTTATAATCCATCAAGCAAATAGCGCAACCGGAGCAACAGTTACTGGTGTGGGTGTCCGTTTCAGAGTCAGCGTTGTGAGTCATCACGGCCTCCGAGTAGAGAAGCGTCGGAAAAGTCGAAATGACGTCATCGCAAAGACCTTTAGGGAGTGTTGTGATATGGTAGTCGTCTGAGCTGTCACTGGTGGTGGTCGGTGGTGATAACTGAAAGTGCATCCTGCGGTTGCAGATGTAAGAAGTATAGCAGAGGGTGAATACGAAGAGGAGGAAGACCAAATAGAACCCAAGGCTGTAGGCTATGTTTCCTCTGATATCATCGGAGCAGTCTTCACCGCCGCTGTAGGATGGTTCTCCGGTATCCATATATATTCCGTCGTGTAGGATGAAAGGGAAATGTCAACTTAGATTTGTTTATACGGGATTACTGAAATATGTATAAACAATGTGCACGATTTTTTCCAAAAATAACAATATTTGATTTGATATAAAGCTAAACAGACGTAATAAAGAGTAATAACATATGCCTGAAACAAAATCAAGCTCTATGAGTATCCTCCATATATATAATTACAAGATTTGTATATACTATGTATAGAAGCTTTGTTCTGATTTGAGTTTCTGGTTTCCCGGGTCTTAAAGCAAACGGAATCCAAATAAATCAAACACGGTGGGGTGCTGAATGTAGCTTTGAAGCGAAGGAATCTAATGTCAAAAATCATTTACTGATTTAAGGAATTAATTAAATATTACAGTACGAAGCTTATGTTAAAATCATTTACTGTTTTAAGTAACTAATTAAATAAGAGAAATTAAATAATATTGTTGGGATGTCACCCGGTTTTATTTAAAATAAAAGATCGTCACCCGGTTTTATTTAAAATAAATGAAAGTCTTTTTTTGTTACTTGTCACTCTCATTTAATTTGCCGAATGTCATTTTATAGTTGTTTTGAATTAATTTTTTTTTTCACATGTTATTTTATGAGTTTTTCTATTTTATTGAATTCCACATAATATTTTAATATAATAATTGCAAGAAATGTAGTAATAAATGGATATCAAATTCATTTATAAACTTACCTTTTAATTTCAAAATTCTCAAAATTAAAGCTTATTAATTTCTTTTATTTATTTAAATTATTTGTTTAAATTTAAAATATAAAAAACATTTTCATTATAATAACTCGTTATTTTTCTTATTTTCTTATAAATTCGAAGTTCTCAAATATTTTGACATTTATATTTAACTTTTTTTTTTTTAAATTAGCTTATGTATTACATAGGTCTCACAGCTAGTGTTTCATTAAAATATATCTTGTTCCATGACTTACGTGCATCACTATTTTTAAGAGTTTTGAATTGAGTTCTTTTGTATTATATTTATTTGTTGAGAAAATGACGCAACGGCCCTACTATGCATTTCGATTTTACTCGTTCAGTCCCTTAAGTTATTTTCGTGCCCTTTAAGGGAACAAAGATGGTTTTGTCGGAATGAATAGGTCCCTTTTGCCAAAACGAAGGGGTAACCCGGTTACCCCTTATGTCAGCTCACTTAATTTGTCTAATTATTTATTTGTTTATTATAAAGAAAATGACACGTCTCTCTCTCACACACACACCCCTGTGTCGTATGTTCTGTTATTTTCTTCTTTCGTGTTGCTCTAAGTTGGTCGCAGAAGAAAGAAAAAGAACTTACACCCTTATCTTTAAAACTCGATCTCTGCTTATCTCCTCTTTCACCTCATTCGATCGATTAGAATGTCAAGAACAAAGATCTTGGGTCTTGTTGTGCGTATGTGTTGGTCTTCGATGGTGACAGGAAGATGAAGGTGAACGGTAATGGTGATGATGGTGGTGGCATTGATGGGTTTTTTCCCGCACCCTCTCTCCTGGGTTTACGTTTATAAGATTATGTGTTTTGTTTGGGACTTGATTAGTTCAGATTGATACAAAATCATGAAGTCAGTAGAAGACAAAGAGCTCACACCCATGAACAATGTAATCTATTTAATCTTTCATCATCCTTTTACTTTTTTTTCATCAATTTCACAGATGAAGAAAAATGGGACCTTTGGATGTTGCTTCAGTGTTTGCATGTTTCACCAGTTTTGTTGATGTTAGTTGACCTGTTATTGAATTTTCAACATTAATCAACTTCCTTTTGGTTCAATTCAGGCAATACTTTTAGGTTTTCAACATTAATTCAATTTCGTTGATGTTAATGCTCAACATATTCACTAATGGATTCATCAACATAACATTCGAAACTTACAAACTGATCTGGGTGACACCCATAAGGTGTTCAATGTTTTGCTTGTGTGAGATTTGAGGGGTTACAACATCATCGCCTCCTTTTAGTTCCACAGGTTTTACTCAGTGCTTCGTGTTCTTCAGATGCATCTACTGATTCATTTCAAATACGGGCATAGAAGGAGGATGGATTACCGACTGTCTTGTCGATGAAGAGTAAGGTGGTGGTGGTGGTGGTGGTTCGTCAGAGGAGAAGCGCCGAGAAGAAGAGGATGACGGGAGGGTGAGTTGGGTTTTATCTGGCATAAAGAAACACACACACACACAGAGAAAGAGATAGATGGGCCCTAGGTTTTATCTATGTGTCTCTCAAACCGGCTAAAACAAGTAAAGAGGAGTAAATGGACAGGTCACCAAACAGTTTGTTCCCTTAAAAGATACGAAAAAAACTTTAGGGACCAAAATGGCAAAGTCGAAATACATAATAGGGTCAATGTGTCATTTTCCCCAGTTAAATAATTCAACGTCACTCGAGTATTATTTTTGCACTTCTAAGGGAATGAAATAGATTTTCATTGGTTTAAAAGGTCATTATTGAATAAATGACTGGGTAACCCGGTGATATTTAGGCAAGATTGTTAAATTGAATGTCACGTCACATTGACTCATCTCTTTCTTCTGGAGTTTTTCACTGAAGCTTCATCAATGGCGGACAAAAGTCAACTGCCCATGGAACAACTTCAAGATATGTACATGTTAAACCTTTCTGCACCAGATCTTCGGTGGTGAAGATGACGAACGCTTGCTTGAATTGCTGGAGCACCTAGCGCTAGATGTTTCGTTTTTGCCCTGAAGCTTGATACGTTTTGTTTCTGTTCAAATCATGTCTCGTAAATTAACTTCCAAGATGACCCTCTTTCTTCGAGAAGAAAGCAACGTGATCAAAGATATGTAACCACACACTGTCAATCGAATCAAGAAACTTTTCACACGATTTCCTGTTAAGGGGATAAACCTTCTAAATCTCCCCCAAATCCACATACGCTTTCACTCTCTCCACTTCCACAGGATTCCATAAAGCATCACCCCTTCTATTTCCTGTTGATTCATCTACCTCTTCGTCTTCAGAATAAATAGTAATCAACTGAGCAACATATATGAGGAGGATGGTAACCTGATAAAACGAACCAGGTAAGTGCCTTGTAGAGGAAATCAAATGTCGGATTGTAAGGTTCCAACATCTCGATTTGGAACATCTTGCGCATATCGATCAGGATTATCTGGGTTTTTGGATATGTTGGGTTTTATGTCCTGTAAGATTCCATCTTTTTCATGTTAGAGTTCATCTTGTTCATTGGATGTGATTTTAGATTCAATCAACTTCAATTTTTTCACGATTTTGTCAATGTTAGATTTAGGGGGTGATGATGAACAAGATAGTGTATGTACTTTCTCCTTCGAAATTGATCCTCCCTTTTGTTTGCGTATGCTCTCTTTATCTCTCTCAATTGATTAGGGATTTGAATTTGATCAGTTTCTTTCACCATTTTAATGGATTGAAGAATGAATAGAAAAACAGAGATGAGTGTTAGGCCATCATCATCCCCTAGACAGCAATGCAAGAGGAGAAAAGCAAATATGTATGTGGGAGAGAGACGGTCTGTATAGCAAGAAATAGAATGGAAGATATGAGAGAGTATTAATGGTGATGAGTGACAGGAAGGAAAATGAGTTTGTTTGATAGTAAGTGTCGTGGAGTGTAGAGGAAAGAGGAATAGTCCGCTAAAATTTGATGTGAGATGGTGGAAGGTTGACTGACCGGCTATAATAGGTTGAGTGTCCTAGATGACAGGTCAAAACCAAGTTTAGGTCCTTAGAAAACATAAAAAAAAAAAATAATAAAAAAAACATAAACAACGAATTAGAATAAACAAGAAAGTTTGATGGGCAAATATGACATCAACGTAAAAACTGTAAACTCAATGTAAGTTCTAATTTTGTTGCGATGAGTGTTATTTTTGATCTTTTCCAGGGAACACTTTCAACGAGTGTCATTGCGGTTTAAAAATAGTATGCCAAGTGTAATGACAAACTTTCCCTCCTCATTTGTGTTGTGTTTTTGTTACTTTGTCCTTTTATTATGTTTTATACACTCCTCCATTACTTGTTATCATCAGGACAAAACAAAATCAGAGAAATTGAAAAACAAGTTAAACAAGTATTTCAGATGAGTTTTAACCATATATTATCCATACAATCTCAAAAGGTCTCAATACAAACAGACAGACAGTATAAAGAAAGAAAATCACAGCCTGACATTATTGTCTTGCCAAAACCTATCATCATAATCATAATAGATAACCAAACCTCCGTACTCCATATGCCTCAAAACTCAAATCATTGCTGTGCACATTGCACCCTCTGTGCACCACCAGGCATCTCATCATCTTCATCATAAGCTTCTTGAGCTTGTTGCTGCTGTTTCCTTCTCATCTCCTCTTCAATGTTGACATCGTGTAGAGTTGTCTCCTCACATTCATCCAACTCCATATCTGTCATCTGCATGGAAGGCTTAGGTGGCAGCACCCCCTCCAACGCCTTACACTGCTCAGGTGACAATGATTCCGGGAACTCCACAGTAAAGTGGATGTACAGCTTCCCCTTCATGAATGGCCTCTGATACATCGGCATTCCTTCGTCATTTATCGCCTTGAATTGATCTACACAAACAAAGATCAGAAATTAACAATCATAAACAGACTAAAACTAATAACATTAAGCAACTCACAAAGAAAACAAAACACTTACCAGGCTTAACAACCTCCCCAGGTTCCGATTTGATGAGAAGCTGTCTGCTATCCAAATGAGTTAAAATAAACTGGAACCCACATAGAGCCTCGGTTAAACTCAACGTGTGCTCAACAAACAAGTCATCACCCTTTCTCTTGAACTTAGGGTGCTCTTTTTGTTGCAACACAAACACAATATCACCAGTAACCGTGTCAGGCTGCAAAAAACATAAACAAAATCAGTCTATAATCTATATATACATGACTTTATACATCCAGACAAGTTATAAATGAAAAAAGCTTACAGCTTCATCTGCTTCACCAGGGAAGGTGATCTTCTGGGAATTCTGCATGCCCTTTTCCACATGGACTTCTAGAACCTTCTTCTCTTGAACAACTTTCTCACCCTTGCACTGTGTGCAGCGATCTTTATCATTGATGGTTTCACCAGTTCCCTTGCACTCATTACAAGGATGCTGCATTTGTTGGATCATAGATGGGCCAAGATGTCTGATGGAGACTTTCATTCCTGAACCTTGACAGCCTGCACATTTCATTGAAGCACCTGATTTTGAACCCTTGCTGCAAAATTATAACTTGAGTTAGTGGGAATTAGAAAAAGGGTAGAAGATAAAATATCAAAGAAGGTGACCAATGACTACTCACTCACCCCTTACACTTGGAGCAGAGTACATTACGTGAAAGAGAAAGTTTTTTGGAAGTTCCATTGTAGAGATCCTCAAGGGAAACTTTAAGAGGGTGAATGACATCTTCACCCCTACGTTGTCTTCGTCCCCTGCTGCTACCACCAGCACCTGGAATTAGGAACAAATATTTCAAATGAATCAAGCAATAAACACAAAGCCATGAGCTTTAAGCAAGAATGGAGCTTATGGACAAGAACTAGATTGACACTGCTTACCACCAAAGGGATTACCACCACCAAAGAAGGATTGGAAGATGTCAAACGGGTCATGACCACCACCTCCGCCACCCATTCCTTCCTTCAAGGCATCCTCACCATACTGGTCATATATCTCACGCTTCTCGGGGTCACTCAATACCTCATATGCTTGAGCAAGCTCTTTAAACTAAAAGATAAACATCATAACACAGATATAAATACAAAGATATTGATGCCCATAAAATGAAATTTGTCTCAAAAAAGAATCATTTTTCTAAACTTAACATGGAGACAATATTAACATTTATTGATTATAATTCAAAACTTTAACTAGAGGAAACTGGTTTTGATATTTTGTGTATGAATTCCTTCTTGATTTTTAAGACAACTCATGTATTATAATTTATAAAAGCTGTCAGAATCAACATTAGAAAAATAAAAAAAATAAAAATAAAAATCTCTTTAAATGATTTCAGCTGCATAACCCTACCAGCAAGTTATCATGATCAAAGCATCATATGAATATATACAATACCCAAGAATGAGCAAAAGTCTCATATAGAAGGCGATTAATAGAAACTACAAAGGTAACACTCCTTTTCAGCATTAAGGGCTCCTTAAAGATGCACTAAATCCAAATCATATTGATCCAGGCCATATACAGCATATGAACTGACTAAAGTTTTCTAAAGGTTAATGGTGACATAACATTAGACCTAACCAACAGGTTAACAAATAAAACTTGTCTTTATCAAAACATCATCTAAGGAATTACAGGAGCCAATTTTCACCCAGTGACGGATTTAAACCATACGAAACTCATCAAGTAACAACCTTCACAACAAGCTGTATCCTATTGTTCTCTAGTATTATGAGGTTTAAAGGTTCAACACAGAGTACAATAATAACTGAAGATTAACTGAAAGATTAGGGTTAGGTATTAGCACCTTTTCAGGATCTCCACCCTTGTCAGGGTGATTCTTAATGGCGGCCTTCCGATAAGCCTTCTTGAGATCATCCTGGGAAGCACTTTTGGGAACACCCAGGATCTCATAGTACTTCGTATTATCGCTCTTCTTCGGCTGTCTTCCAAACATCCTGTTTCTTCGATCTTCGATATCTAATTACAAATCTAACACAAAAACACAATCAAATTAAAACCAGATCGGGAAACTATATGATCGCGCAATTTTACACAATAACAGCGTAGAAAATTCTGTAAGGTAGATATAGAAGCATACCTGCCAATAAGCAGATCGGAAAAGAGATCGAAATCGTGAAGACTTGAGTCGGGTGTGTTCGGCTAAAGAGAGAAAGAGGGGTTTGGAATTTTGGGGTAGAAGGTGTGATATTATTGAGGAGGTTGATATGGACGGTCCAGATTTTTCGATCTGTGGTTACATCGATACCAAAGAAGCCTCTAGAAGACTTCTTGTGTTTACACTTTACATCTAGAAACAATCCCCACTATTCCACACATATAATAAAATCTTAATTATATTTTACTTTAATAATTTTAACCATCTAAAGTAAAATTTACATACAAATAACTTTTTAAAATTGATATAATTTTTTTTAGGTATTATTAGACTAGTGGGCAACTAATTAAAAGGTGTTATCACACCTAAAAATTACCACCTCACATGTCATGTCATTTTGGTGTTATAACCCCAAATGGAGGAAATGGGCAACTAGTGATAACATCTTTAATTTTCCATGTCATAATTTTTTTTTAATTTTTTTTCTGTTTTTCAATTTAATTTGTTTTTGATTATTTTTTTTTTTCATTATATTTTTTTAATCACATTAGATTAATAACAAAAAAAACATGCAATTTGATTAACTCCTAGATTAACCATAACATTAAAATTAAAAAAAAAAACATTACACAAAAAAAACAATGAAGAAAAAAAAAACCAAACGTCCTAAAAAACTAAAACCGATCAACTAGTCATCCAAATATTGTCTTTCGATTTTCTCCTTCATCTTCCGGAGCACTAGCGTTTCTCATGGTCCCATATTTGCTTCGCTGGTCTGGAGAATGGCTAAATCCTTCGTCATCTCATCTTTCTCAGCTTGCTTACGAAGAAACTCCAAGTGCTCACGTTGCACATCAACCTTCTGTTGGGCAATCAAATTGTGTTTGTCGAACTTTGCTTTCATTTCCGCAAACTCTTATGCCCTTCTATCAATTTCGTTTGCGTGACGTTGAGCACGTTTCGTTTTGTCTCGTCCGACCGGTCGACATGGGGGGGAGATCTCTTCGATGTCGCCGGGGATATCATCAGTGTCTGCATTGAGATCGACGTTTGTTCGCGCGTCGGAAACGTCAAACGAACTAGAATTACGGGACCTTTTTGATTGTGCCTCCCCCGATGTCAGCGTCTTATTCCATTTTGGATCTAGCCTAACAATCTCCCATATTTTTTCAAACTCAAAAGCATGCCCCATTTCCACTTGATATTGTTCCCTTGCGGCTTTGTAAACATCAAAATCATTCGCACCACTTTGCCTTTGTGATTCTACTCTCATGCAAATACCATTAAACTTGGTGCACCGTCGACTGATCGCAGTCCATTTTCTGTTAAGCATGTCGATATTTCGATACGACTGTTTCTTCATAAGTGTGTGGAATTTGCCGAGCACGACTTCCTAAAACCCAACTCTTCGCATATCATTTCCTTTGGTTGGATTCTTTGAAGTCCCGCACCACGCTTCCGCCAAAGCATACTCCTCATCCGCTGTCCACCATAGTGGAGATTCTTCTTCCGTATCCCCGACTGCCTTCCCTTTCCGTTTCCCTTTTCCTTTCCCTTTCCCTTTTCCCACTGCCTCCCGCTTGTGTTTCAGGAACAATTTATGGTGGTGGTTGTGTGGCTGTTTGTTGCATGGAACTGAAAGCATTGAAAAGGTTTTGTTGAAGATTTGGGTTTTGCTGCATGTAAGGGGATGTATGAAATTGCATTGGGGATGTAGCAAATTGTATTGGGGGTGAGTTTGAGGTGAGAATGTTCATATAACTTCCATATTGCGCGAAACCCATTGGGATGGACGTGTTTGTGTTTGGTGGCGGAGTGTTCGGGTTTTGCTTCATAGTTGGTTGAAAGGAAAGTTGGGTTTTTTTGTGAATAGAATAAAGATGAAGATGAGAAAAGGTTGTAAAAAATATTATGTTTGTATATGTATATATAGTTGAAATAAAATGGTTAATTTTTTTTTTAAACTTCTCAACGGTGAAAAATCCGACCGTTTCACGCGTTATGAAACGTTGAGAGGGCAACGAAGGGCAACAGATTGGGTCATAACGCCGGATAATGAATAGGGGGCGGTGTTCCGCGTTACAACGCCGTTGAGGGGGGTTCCACGTCACAAAAACGGTTGTGGGGGTTGCCCACACCGTGCAGTCTTATACATACCTTATTGATAGTTATACAATTTTTAATATCCATCAGATTCTATGTCTAGAATAGCACGATGTAGAGGCCCTAATCTATAGCAAGAGTTTAATTGTATGCATTGATGGATAGACTTATCAAATAAAATAAATTTTATCAAATACACTTCTTCTCATGATTTTGATTTTATGTTTTCTTTTTCTTTTATTAACCAACATTTTGATCGCTCACGGGTAATATTTGGGCATCCTATAGGAGATGTCTCAAATTTGAATATTGAAGGTTTCAATCAAGGGTTTGTCACTTTGTCATAAAAAAGTTTGTGTGATGTAGTTTTGAAAATGGTTGTTTAGGGCATCTCCAACTCTACACTATAAATTACATTATAATACTTCAATCCTACACTATACCTAACACTATGTATAGTGTTGGATTTTAGTGTAACACTAAATATATTTGTAACATCCCAAAATTTTCAAACAAAAACTTTGCTTTTAATTCATTTCAAACGTCCAATAATCAAATCAAAACAACCGAAAGTGTATCATAGTGAATAATATCATAGTGCAAATCCCAAAATCACATAATGCGCAAAACATGGGCTGATGCGGTGCGATCAAGTCGGGTCTTTCCCTTTTTGAGTTGGAAGTAGCTGCAACATAAACTGTAAACTGTAAGCACAAAACTTAGTGAGCTCCCCTAAAATACTACATATCATACATACATAAAAGTCAAAAACATATTGGGTCTATTTCACCCCCTTCAGTATCTTTCAACCGGTACTAGGTCTATTTCACCCCCATTTGGTATCTTTCAACCGGTATTAGGTCTATTTCACCTCATTCGGTATATTTCAACCGGTATTAGGTCTATTTCACCCCTTCAGTATCTTTCAACCGGCATCAGGTCTATTTCACCCCTACAACTAGCATATAATCATAATAGTAATAGTCACAGAGACAGCAAGCACATACATGCATAACAGGAAATTGCCACAAAGACAATTATCAACGTCTAATATAATTTGGTGGGTCGGCATTGGTGCCTTCGACCCACGAGTATAGTGAAGGAAACTCACCTCTCGATCAATAATCAACTACTGTTGCTCTCACGGTCAGTTACATCGGTGTTACACCACACCTAGATAATCATACAAGGCAAACCTTTAGTCTACCTTTCAAAACCAAGAGTTGACCAAAAGTCGACTCTGATCAAAAGTCAACGCCTAAGGTCAACAGTCAACATTACCATCTGCTCACCCTCACGTCATGACCTGTTCTCTGGTCACGTCGTGAGAATGGACTCGACCTGGAACCACTCAGTGAGTCGACTCAGTTACAACTCATCCAACCAGAATCCTCAGATCGGCACAACCTCATTTCTCACGTCGTGAGATTCCCATTTCTCACGTCGTGAGACCTGTTCTGACCAACTTTGAGTATTAAGCTCTTAATACTTTAAGACATTCTTTGGGACCTTCCAGAGGGTCTGCCTCGACCCTAAGGACTATAAAAAATTGTAGCTTTTCAGTCATGCATGTCTAATGCATGACTTAGATACTAACTAAGTCAAAAGAAATGTAATAAGATCAAGACTCGTGCTTGGAGTCTAAAACTGTAACACTCAAAAATTTCATGCCAATTTAAAAATTTTTCAAAACATTTAAAAATCGATCATCATTACAAAGTTTGTTTTCAAAATATCTAATATTAGAGTTTTCCCAGAAACATAATAAATCATGAGGAGCTGTACGATCATGCCTTCGCCTTGCCGCGATCCTCTGGTGTACTTGAAACAATAAACTGAAACTGTAACCCCGAAAGCTTAGTGAGCTCCCCCAAAATACCAACTTCATACCAAAATAACCACAACAAATAACAATTACAGATCAGCATGCATAATGAGCCTTCAGCCTGACTGGACCGCCTCACAGGGCCTACAGCCTATCTGGACCGCTCCCGAGCCTTCGGCATGACTGGACCGCCTCGCAGGGCCTACAGCCTATCCGGACCGCTCCCCGGGTATGTTGGCCTACAACACAAAGCAGGACCGCCTCAACCCAACCCCAAATCAACAAACATGTGCACATAAATACCATACGCTAGCTCATATCATATAACAGTCAAACCGATCTAACAGATCACTAATCATAGCAACATCCCAATAACCGGGTTACCGACCTAACCGATCACTAACATAGCATTATCCTATAACCAGGGCGCTGACCTAACCAGGTCACCAAGAATAAGCATACCATCATCCTAGCTACCAGGATGTAATCAATAAATATATCATGCCATAATCCCGATACAATATATAAAGGGTCGACCTTGGTGCCTTAGACCCTATTGATATAGTGAGGGTAACTCACCTCGCACTGTCGACTCGAAGGTAAACTCAAGCTCTCGGATTGCCGGTACAACTCCACCACCTGAATGCACCATAGAACCCTGCTTGTAAATTTCCAATTTCCCAAAATGCCCCAGAAGTCCAATAGTCAACCCTTGGTCAAAGTCAAAATCAACTGTCAAAGTCAACAGTCAATGTTGACCTCAACTCGTCGAGTACAACCAACCACTCGCCGAGTTCCTTGCGTAAGTCGCTAACTCGCCGAGTCACTTGAGCGACTCGTCGAGTTCCTAATGTCAGTGGCCGCAAACTCCTTGTCCAACTCGTCGAATTTCCCCTTTAAAACTCGTCGGGTTCATACGTGTCCAAAGGTTGGGAAAACCATAGCCGACTCGCCAAGTCATTCGACTGACTCGCCGAGCCCAAGGCAATCTTCATCGGACTCGCCGAGTCGTTCATCCGACTCACCGAGTCCATTCAGACCTTCATCCATACAGTAGATTTTTAAGCCATGTTAAGGCTCCACATTGCAGATCTAAGCTCCTAGGGCATGTTTATCACGTAAAGTTGCAAACTTTACGTGCATGCAAGATGATAAAGCCCCAAAACAAGCTAAAGGAGTGGCTCAAGGTAGAGGAAAGGTCATAGCTTGACAAAGACTGATACTTTATGACAAATAGGGACTAAAGGAGTCCAGATCTGAGGTTGAAAACCTCAGATCTTAACCCAAAACGGCGAACCACCTCAAAACCCCAAAAAGGATCTAAACCCATAAATGAAGAGATCTAACTAAAGGAGAGTCAAGGTGGAAAATTGTTACCTTCAAAACAGTGCCAAAACAGAGAAGAATCCAGATCTACAACAGCCCCTTGCTTCAAACTTCTTAAACTCCAAGCCCCTTTACTCCAAAGATCTTCTTTCAAGATTAGAAGCACACAAAAATAGAGGGACAACACAATTAGGGTTTCTGAATTCGAGGGAGGCAGTAAGAGAGGTTAGGGGGAATAAGTGATCCTTAAATAGGGTGCAAAACCCCAGAAATTAGGGTTTCTTCCTCCAGCTCCTACTCGTCGAGTCCCTTCTTGGACTCGGTGAGTAGGTCACTAAAAACACGAGGACCAACCCGCTGCTACTCGACGAGTAGGACAACCAACTCGTCGAGTAGACCTTGAATCAAGGAAATTCTTATATAAAATCGATACCTGAGAATCTTGGCGTTACAGTTCTCCCCCACTTGAACTAGACTTCGTCCTCGAAGTCTTCCGCGGCAAACAACTCCCGATAGTGCTCCCGCATCTCTTCCTCTGGCTCCCACGTCCACTCGGACCCCCTCCGATGCTCCCATTGTACCTTCACCAAAGGTATCTCATTGTTCCGTTGAATCTTCGCCTTCCTTTCTAATATGGCCACGGGCCTCTCAACATAGTTCAGACGCTCATCGACCTGGATGTCGTCCAGTGATACCACCGCCTCCTGGTCCATAACGCAATTTTGTAATTGCGAAACGTGAAAAGTGTTGTGAATCCGACTAAGCTCCTTCGGAAGCTCTAACCTGTATACCACCTTGCCAATCCTGGCAATGATCCTGAACGGCCCAATATATTGGGGACCCAATTTTCCCCTATTTCTGAAGCGGATCACACCCTTCCAGGGCGAGACCTTCAGGAGTACCATATCACCGACCTGAAACTCTAACTCGGATCGGCGCCGGTCGGCGTAACTCTTCTGCCGACTCTGAGCGGTCTGCAGCCGCTGCCTAATCTGCTGAATCTTCTCAGTAGTCTGCAAGACTACCTCCGTCCAACCCATCACCCTATGTCCGACCTCACCCCAACAAACCGGGGTGCGACATCTCCACCCGTACAACAGCTCGAAGGGCGGGGCGCCAATGCTGGAATGATAGTTGTTGTTGTAGGCGAACTTTGCAAGGGGTAGGTGGGAATCCCAGCTCCCACCGAAGTCAATGACACACGCCGTCAACATATCCTCGAGGGTCTGAATGGTCCGCTCGCTCTGGTCGTCGGTCTGCGGATGGAATGTTGTGCTAAAGTGTAATTGTGTGCCCAGTTCCTCGTGGAACTTCTGCCAGAAACGGGAGGTAAATCTAACATCTCGGTCGGAGACAATGGAGACCGAAACCCCATGACGAGACACGATCTCGCGGACGTACATGTCGGCCAACCTCTCGGCCGACGAACTCTCCCGAATTGCCAAGAAATGGGCACTCTTGGTCAATCGATCTACGATGACCCATATAGCGTCAAATCCCTTCTCCGTCCTCGGCAACTTAGTAATGAAGTCCATCGTGATATGTTCCCATTTCCACATGGGAATCTCCATGGGCTGCAGCTTGCCATGCGGCCTCTGATGCTCGGCCTTGACCATCCTACAGGTCAAGCACCTCTCGACGTACCAAGCGATTTCTCGCTTCATGCACGGCCACCAATAGCCCAAATTCAAATCCCTGTACATCTTGGTGGCCCCCGGGTGAATGGAGAAGTGAGACTTATGAGCCTCCTCCATGACTGTCTGTCTGACCCCACCAGACATCGGAACCCATACCCGACCGCACCGGGTCAATAATCATCGGCTATCTTGCACAAACCGGGTGTTCTCACCCTTGATCCTCTCCAACTTCCAGTTCTCCGGTCGCATGCCCTCAACCTGGGCATCCCTGATCAAACTCACAAGCGGAGAATCCACCG